GGCAGTGATTTTTGAATAGTCTTTAAATATAAAAAAATCGAACATTTTATGCGACTATTGTTTTGTCTTTAAAAACAAAGAGCCACAGTTTTCCCTTGATTTTACCGGCGCCTAGAAATAACCTGATAAGGTCAGTATATCATTTGACTACAGCGCCACATACAAACAGCAGAAACATGCAGAGACTACAGCCATCAAAAAGTTCTGTGTGGAACTTCTTCAAGAAAATAAAAATAAGGTGTAAGTTAAGTTAAATTAGCATATCATAAATTGACAACAAGTCTGCACAGCTGTTTGAAGAGGTGTCCAGCAGAAAGTGGGGCTCAGCCGCAGATCAACAGTCAGTGGCTATAGCTGAAGAAGGAAGTTTTTGACATGCAGAGCAAATAGCAGCCCTCATCACAAAGATGATCGAAATGACATACTACCCATTAGCTTCGTCAAGGGGGAGGGTTTTTAATGTTTTGATGGCATTTGTTCAGGTGTGTGGGATGATAATGAATGTGAGCTACACAGTTTGAAAAGCACTGGAAAGGTGTCTTTGACGATGGATGCATAGACAGCATTTAGAACTGGGGTATGCAATTGTATTACATAAGCAACTGAAAACTACAGAGTGCTGTTCTTCAGACTAAAGCAATGCCAGCTTGAAATGCACAGCATGTAAAATGTTACATTATAATTGTCATACAGTAACTTCAGAAAGTATTGACCCCTTCATTTTTTGCACAATGATGTAGTGAATCTACTGTAGTTTCAGATGGATGTAATCACAATTTGTGCCCATCAGTCCATACTCAGTGGTGATTGTGGTTCAGTGGGTAGAGCAGTCGTCTCCCGGTCGGAGGTTCGAATCTCGGTGCCTGCAGTTCATGTGTTGAAGTGTCCTTGAGCACTGAACCCCCAACTTACCCCCAGTGGTTAGAGCCATCAGTTGATGCCGCAGATGGCTGCCTTGATTCTGTACCGGAAACAAATTCCATGTGTGTAACAAATAAAGGTGATTATCCTTATCCATAATGACAAAGTAAAAACCATGTTTTGCAAAATTATTAAAAAATACTTTCTTTCACAAAGGGATTCAGACCCTTTGCTATTACACTAAAGAATCCTATTTGCTTTAGTTTTCCATTAGCTGTGTGTAGAACCTCAGTGGCGTTCTCCTGTGGCAAACTGAATTATCAGTTATAGTTTATCATATAACCCTTTTCTTTTTTACTGGAGAAAGTGCTTTACAGATGCTGCTACCCATTCACACAGCAGCCACGCAGGACTGTGGGAGGAAGCCAGAGTCACTAGGAGCAATGTGGAGTTCAGTGTCTAGCCAGGGACACTTTGACATGTTGACTGGAGAGACTGGGGATCGAACCACCAACCCTGCTAGAAGTTGAATTGCTCTACTCATCCACAGCTGCCCCACTTTCACAGTACTGGTTTGGAAAAGAGGTGACATGGTGGTGTGGTGGTCAAGCCTTTCTGTGCAGAGTTTGCATGTTCTCTCTGTGCCTGTGTGGGTTCTCTCCGGGTACTCTGGTTTCCTCCCACAGTCCAAAGACATGCAGCAAATTGCTCATAGGAGTGAGTGTGCGTGTATGTGGTTGTTTGTCAGTCCTGTGTTAGATTGGTGTACCCCGCCTCTCACTCAGTCTTAGCTGAGATCAGCTCCAGCTGTAACCATCAACAGGACAAGTGGTATACTGTAGATAATGGATGGATGTGTAGTCTATCCTATCACTCACCCAAATCACAGCAAGAATTCATGTGTAATCTGAGAA